AAACTTTCTTTGAATTGTAATCAAATTTCTTTTCGTCCCGAAACGACCGAGAGAAGGCGGAAGGTAGTCTAGCGGAGCAGACTACTGCCGCACGGTGTCCCTTTCTGTGCTAAGAAGAAAGGTAACCCGTGAAACATAGACCTGTCTGTTAATAAAAGAACTGTTAATAAAAGAAAGGATGAGCCGCATTTTTTACGGCCTCCATCTGCCCTGGGTTTTGGTAAAGGAGATAAATCGCAGATTATGCCTCCAAGGGTACATGGTGGAAGAGGGTACATGGTGGAAGATTGCTTGTACACTTGCACTTACTCAATGGTCAAATCCATATTTCAGGATTCGAACCCTTGACGCGACAGCCTCAAGCAAAGCTGTAGTTTTTCCAAATTCCCATTTTACCACTTGGAGATGTGACTTGTCTATTAATAATTAATATATCAAATTGATAACGTGTTTGATGAGGATAGATGTAAAAGAAGAGTATTAAAGAAGAAAAAACATAAAATTGTGTATTATACTATATAGTCTGTTCAAAAGAAATTAATAAATATGAGAAATTTTAATTTCTATGCACCTGTGTATGCATGTTCTTTTTTTAAACTCTTCCAGTTCTTACTTAATTTCATAAGGTACAAAGTAGTTATAGCTTTGAGTGATATGGAGTAAGATTTGAGTAGAAACATGAGTATGCTGTGCAGTTGCATCGGGAAGTTGGATTTAAATGGCAATCAATAATAACTAGCCTGTTTCTATATTCATCATGTTCTTCTAAACTCTTCCAGTTATTACTTAATTTCAGAAGGTAGAAAGTAATTGTAGATTTGAGTGATATGGAGTAAAATTTGAGTAGAAAACATGAGTATGCTCTGCGGTTGCACCTTCATGGTGAACCTCTGCATCAGAAAGTGCTTTACTGACTGTATGATCCGTTCAGGGTTACAGTGATTCACAGCAAGTCCGAAAGTCGGGCCCTTTGTCGAAGCCTATTGAGGTACTGTGTGGGCTAGAATATCGTGATTTGCTGTAGGTTGCTGTCACTCCGTCCGTTTGGTATCTATTAAAGTTGACTAATCTATAAATATAAATTGGTGGACAACAAAATACTTGGGGGCCTGTTTGACAGGTTTGTTCTTTTCAAAAGTTCTAATCAGAATATTATTTAAAGGATTATGCTAGTTGTACAATCGAGTTTGACAACCACTAACATGGGGGGTCCGCTTTTTTTTTTTGAATTGTTTAAACATGCGGACCCCGCACACATGTGAGTGGTTGTCAACCGAGATTGTCAACCTCGATTGTACAAATAGCATTTTCCTTATTCAAATATGCTTAAAAGTAGTTTTTAATCTTAGAAGTAATTATTAACGTTTTAAAAGTCACCAAATGGGGTCTTAATTTATCTTACGTTTTTTTATATAAAAAAATAAAGTAACCAAATTTGTCCAAAACGACAATAATAAGTTATTTTTCAATGTTGGATTGGATCTATCCAATTTAAAATAGTCAAATTGATATCACCCAAATAATGTAAAATAAAATATCAGCCAAACAAAACCTTCATGAGCCCGTACTCACAATTAATTCCCAATTAATTATTAATAATAATGCATATTAATAGTCAAAGGCATTAGGTAAAGCACATTTGCTCATTGGTGTCGTGCAGTAGCACTCCTTCCCAAAGTTGACTAGACTGGTCCCTGCCCAATTGAACCGCTCGTACCGTTCTGCGAAACAGCGTAACAGACCTCCATATATTTATAAAAATTATATTCTATTATTTAGAGAACATATTCATGGAGAGTTAAAATTTTGAAATACTCCAACAAATTCCTTATATTTAATATTTACTTTTATTACTTTCAAAAAATATTTATTATTTTTTTAATATTTTATTTTAATTAGTTTTTTAAAAATTATTTTATTATTTTCTTATATTGAAAATTGAAAGCATTTAATTTAAAGAGTATTTTAAAGCGTAATATGAAACGTTGACTGTTTTGAAACAGAGAGCATCTCATCTTTATGCTCTCAAACCACAAGTATGCCACTCCCGCGAACAAAAGATAAACTCTTCTTCATTTTCTAGGTTTCAATTTTCTATCAATTACTTCCTTAAAGATGGAAATGGGGATGAAAATATAGAGTTTAAATTGAAGTTTTTTTTCAAGGTTGATCGTTGTTTACTGGATGCTATTTTGACTTTCATTGAGAGAAAATCAAGTATAGGAACAATGGCGGTGGGTCGGAGGGAGAAGAACAGTCAATCAACGATACGAGGATCGCGAATCGCGATTGCAATTGGGATCGGAGTTTTAGCCGGATGCATTTTCGCCTTCTTCTTCCCCAATGGATTCCTCTCCTCTAATCCGCCTCGCCGTCTTTCCAAATCCAGTCTCGAGGTACCCATTCTCTCCATCGGTAGAATCTCCTTTATTTTTCTTATATTTAACTATTTCTACATCATTCTTCTCATGCGTAACTACTCAAAAATTAATTATGCTTATGCATCTTCTAGAGAAGTTCTTATGCCGGGATTTTAAAATTAGTAATGAGCTGCAATTTGTGGGTTTCATTTGTTTTGCTGTGATTTATGTAAATTGAGGGGGCAGTTGACTGAATTTTTAATTTTGTTTTAATTTAAGCTTTTCTCTTGTTCCATGCTTATGTTTCTTAGGTTTCTGCTGAGCAACTTCAAAGATTTGACTTTGATGTAATTCTCATTTTCTGCAAAACTGTAATTATTCTGGACATATCAGTCCCTCAAGAAACATACAAGGAAAGAGAAGGAAGATCTATTTGTGTCTTTTAACAAAATATGTAGTATATATACGTGTAAAATAATGGTCTGTGTATAGCTAGAGTTGATGAATAACTTTTTTGTCAATGTAATTTATTTCATTGTCAATCTCTTTTAGATATACTTAATCTGTTGTTGATTTGGTACATAGGAGGATTTGTCCTCGTGTGAACCTCCGGAAAAAATAAACATGTTGAAAACGGACATCATGAGGGTGTCGGAAAAGAATGCGGAGCTGAAAAGGCAAGTAAGAGAGCTGAATGATAGGTTACGCTTAGCTGAGCAGGGAAAAGATCATGCGCGGGAGCAGTTTATGGTGTTGAGTGAACCACATAAAGCCGGGCCTTTTGGTACAGTTAAGGGTTTAAGAACTAATCCAACCGTTCTTCCTGATGAAAGCGTGAACCCCAGACTTGCAAAGATATTGGCTGAGGTTGCTGTTGGAAAAGAGCTTATAGTTGCTCTTGCCAATTCAAACGTGAAAGCCATGCTTGAGGTCTGGTTCACCAGCATTAAGAAAGTTGGTATTCGTAACTACCTCGTAGTTGCGTTAGATGATACAATTGTGGATTTTTGTAAGTCAAATGATGTCCCTGTGTACAAGAGGGACCCAGATGAAGTTATTGATTCTCTTGGAAAGATTGGAGGTAATCATGCTGTCTCTGGACTGAAATTCCGAATCTTGAGGGAGTTTTTGCAGCTGGGATACAGTGTTCTCCTTTCGGATGTTGATATAGTGTACTTGCAGAATCCATTTGATCATTTGTATCGGGACTCAGATGTAGAGTCCATGACAGATGGTCATAACAATATGACAGCTTATGGCTATAATGATGTTTTTGATGAACCTGCGATGGGTTGGGCTCGATACGCTCACACAATGAGGATATGGGTGTATAATTCTGGTTTCTTTTATATAAGGCCTACTATTCCTTCAATTGAGCTTTTGGATCGGGTTGCTGACAGGATGGCTCACCAGGCAAAAGTTTGGGACCAAGCAGTTTTCAATGAAGAGCTCTACTACCCATCGCATCCAGGTTATGTAGGGCTTCATGCTTCCAAGAGAACTATGGATTTCTATTACTTCATGAACAGTAAGGTCCTCTTTAAGACTGTAAGAAAGGATGCTAATCTGAAAAAACTCAAGCCGGTTATTGTTCATATAAATTACCACCCTGACAAACTGTCAAGAATGCTGGCAGTAATAGAATTCTATGTTAATGGGAAGCAAGATGCTCTAGATTCATTCCCAGATGGTTCAGAATAGCAGTGAAATTGTGAAGATCGTGTTGATGGAAATTTTCAGGGTAAGTTTTTCTTGTTTATTTTCATAGCGTATGGGTAATCTTGACAGATTACACCTTTTTTGGCAATGCTTCACTTTGATGCAACCTTTCGAATTTCTGTAGTTATGTAGGAACTCGTGTTGTATATTTAAACATTCTCACACATATGATGGCTACTATCCTTCCTCGTGTTAGTGATTGCCTTGTGTTTTACTATGCAATTGTTCCTCTTCTTCATTGATATTGTTTACTGTGTGCACTGTAAAGTGTCCATCTCTGCTAATCTATTTGGATCTGGGCATTGGGACTTGGGGTTCGATACCAAGTTAACCTTTTTAAGTAAAATAGTTCAATCTCACTATGAATGAAAGATCATCTCCATGTCTAGCCAACAGAGATATTTGTTGGCACTGGCACATCATAATGGCTCACACGTGATCATCATGGACACAATCAAGTGATGACCTCTTCTTTTGATCATGTATTATTATCACCATACATTTGTTACATGGAGCTCCACTACTCTGAGAATCTAGAGTTCACCATCACAGAATTAGGCCCACCACTACACAAGTTGGCTATTCATCATGCACATCCATATAGCTAAATATGCGATATAACTTCAATAAGATTTGTTGAAACTTAGGATTCTATTTCAAAAGGTTTAAATATTAGGTAGGGTAGTCCAATCCCTTCATAAACCCAATATTATCTCCGTATCTTTTTTTGACTTTGGACTTAGCACCTATTGTTAACGGCATATGTTGCTCTAATTGTCCATTAGCAGCTAATCATCTATTCAAGAATGATATTCTGGTATCTGATTTGCCAACTAGCAGTTCAATCCGCACGTATGAAAGATTTTGTTCTACAAGTGTGATATCGCCTAATGAAAAAGATTTCATGTGTCACTTAGTATATAGATCCAGCCCTTCGAAATAGAAATGGAAAAATGGTTGACATCCCCAAAGCCGACGACAGAGGGTTGCTACGAGTCCACTGAATTGACTCCTCAGCTTCAGCTTGGGGTTACAGCGTACGTAACGTGGTCGAAAACTTCTCCAAGCCTGCCTGCTCCACCTTCAGCATACAAATTTTCAGTTTTTGTTGGCTCACAAAATGCATTCATTTGATTGTGCATGGACTCCTGCCTGTCTTGGGACATTGATGGTTTGCTTATGAAGTGAATTGGCGTGAGCTTGTATAGATACAATGACGCATGAACGTAAAAATTTGACAATGAACCATTGAAAAAGAAAAAGAACAAGAAAGAAAAATGGTTTCGAGAAGAAAAATTTATGACAAAAGAAAATCAATTTATTTCGTATATTCGAGTGTCTATTACTATAAGCTCCTATTTGGTGATGGTTAAAATCAGATTTTGATAAAAGTTAATGAAATGTACGGTTAAAAAGTTATGAGTTCTATGAAATGTGTTTTTAAAATTAGTTGTTAACTTTCACGTAAATTAAAATTTTGATTTTAATCCTTTACCAAACAAGAGCTAAATAAGTCCCCTTTACATAAAGCGAAGAAGCTAAAATCAAGACAATATCTAATACATTAGAACTTTAATCGAATTGTTAAAATTAATACTAATCTAATATAAACAAAATAAGTTGAATAGAACTCGTATTTTAAAATTCTGTCTAAATTTTGTCTCCATCTCCATCTCCATCTCCATCATTGAAGTTTTGAACCAGACAAGCAATCAGTATTAAAATGTGCATCGAGCAAGTTATGACCAGTTGTATTGGCTTCCACAAATAATCATTTGGATCTTTTCTCAGTCCTTTAGCAAATCATTCGACTTCAGAGAGTATATCATACTGTATTTACAGATCCTACACCTAACAACAGCTCCCTTAATACAGTATTGCCCAAAGCAACGAACAGTTATTGCATATTTACAAGAAACATATAACATGAAATTAATAAATGCATAGCAAGCATACTCTGAGCAAAACTTCACTAAATACATCAGATTTTAGAGTTAAATCTAGCAAAACTTCACGAAACACTTGAGATTTTAAAGTTAATATTACATTATTTGCTTGGTACATTAACATCCTCAGAATGTTTCGGCACAAAAGCATTTTCCACCACGTGAATTCGAAAATTAAACCCCGTATGGAACGTAACGCCAATTCATCCATGATTCTGCACAAAACTGTACCTTTTTTCTGTCGTGTTATCTCAGGATGATCAAACTCCTAGGAAAGGATAAGAGTGAATAAGTACCATTCTAAATTTATATGGATTATGTGTATAGAAGCCAAATCCAAATGCAAAATCAGAGTAAACCCATCCACTTTCAAACTGGTGGTGCCGATAAGCCATCCACCTTCATCATGTAAGAATATTTGGACGGTGCAATTGCACCAGCCTTTGAGCAAAGATCCACTACAGCAGGAGCATGACCGTAATAGCCCCTCCCTTCGTCAACCAGCACTGGAGGATCTTGAGGTCGTCGATGCCAAACTATTTTTGGAGGAACCAAATCGTCCACCTCGGCCTTCTTCCAGAAATGGGTCCCACGCCAGCTCTCATACTTGAACACCCCACAAAGGCGAGCTTTGTGCCCAGATGGCCCTACATGTACCTCTGAACAGTGTTTGCAAACCTTCGCTGGATAAACCAACAACAACTTCCCTACACCGGATCTAAGTGTTTCCCACGCATTCAAAGTTCCTCTTGCTAACAATCTTATATCATCGTCTGACAATGAATTGGAGCCAACCATACCTTTTTCAACATCTGGAGTCGAATAAATACTTCGATTGCCAGGATCAGCCCCTGCCTGCAAGCAGAGCTCCACAACTGCTGAAATGCGATCGTAATCAAATCTCTTATTGTGATCAATTACATTCTGAAACATTTTCTGCAAATGAAATGTTTCTACAGGAACTAATATATGTTCCATGCTTCCTTTAACCCATTTATGGATCTGGTTCTTTGCTTGATGCCGGGAACCACCACAAGTTCGAATCAAATGACCATTCTCACCAATATAAACTTCTGGGCAGTATCTGCCAAAAGAAATAAATAAATGAATAACTGAGTAAATCTTTTTCACACATGACTTTTTCTTGTTTTTTAAATCGTAGAAATTTCATGGTCATAATTGTCAAAGGTAGTTTCTTATACTACATGATATGCAGCAAATAACCAATATATACCAACTAATATAACAATCTGTTGTAGCTACAGAAGAAAAAAATAGTTGAAGCTCTAGAAAGAATTTGAATAACTATTGTGTAAAACTGTAAAAAGATATTGGTACTACGGGAAGGCCAAGGAAAAATATACTGAGACTCCTAGATAACAGAACCTTTATTTAGAAGAATATTAAGCTTCGGTTAGAGTATCATAAAACATTAAGGTTGATTGTAAGAACAAATAGTGGTTATTTGTTACATCTTTGTTGGTTCAATGGCAAGTGTAACTTCCTCCACCCCTTTTTGGTTTAGATAGGTGAAATTTACTGAAGATTCTTTTGAAAGACATTAATTCTTCAAAGACCAATTACAGTTGTTTTATACATCTTCTCACTGACTTATTCCTAACAAGTATCTTATGTTTGTATCGTTCATTACTCTCTTCGCAGAAATGCTAGAAGATCTCTCAATATGTATGCTTGCATGCTCATTAAAATTCAAAGGCACGTAGTTTACATAGGGGCAAGTGTCATGATATAAAGTTTAAGGTTGTGAACAATGAGATGAGATCACTCTAATACCAGTCCTCTAAGATTGTGGTACAGTTATAACTCCCATAATAAGAAGCAGTGCACGCACACCATTCTCTTCACCTCATTTCAATCTATAATTTCCCGATCCCTCACCTCACCTCACCTCACCCCAACAAAATAAATAGCAATTTGAAAATCAGATGCCAACTAGAAAATTTATAACATGTGATTGCTTGAATTTATTATTATTTTTTGGTTATAGGCCGAGTATTTTTCCACATTAATCCATGGGTGATGCTACAATATCAAAAAGAAAACCCAGTGAAATTTACTAAAAATAACTCATAAAAACCCTATACCACAAACCTTCACATAATGGGTCTGGTTAAAAAATTCAGTAAGCAAAGATCTCACCTTTAATTTACCTAGATCCGATTATTTAACCAATAATTCCATGAATATGCAAAACATAAATTAGAATGCGCTAATGAACATACAATATAAATACAGAGGGGAAAATCGTGAAATTACTGGCATGTCCATACGGGAATGCACTGGATGAGCATTGATACGCCGTGGTAGAGAATCGTTCGGGCCCGGAGGACCTCATGGGCTACAGGGCTCAAGCGTTTGATAGGATATTCCTTGGCCCGTTCCTCAATCCTCTTTAAGATCACTGGCCTAAGCTTCTTCAAATCCACCACTGGTTTTGATTTTGCACTGTAAAATCTGTAACGACCAATCACTTCTCTAAAGATCACTGTATTTAGCTGCCATAGCCAATTATTTCTCGTACCCATATCGGAAATGTTCTTCCTGTGCTACATATATATACCCTCTGAAGTTGTATGTATGTGTGAACAGCGTTTAGCCCAAATTCATGTATCACATAATATGTAATTCAGCAGGTGTCAATAAAATCGTTTTCCTGATGTCTCGAATAATGCAATTTCTCAAACAGAGAAACATGGTTCTTTGATTCTACTGCTTACGGTTATATATATCAGAAATTGGGGATCCGACTGGGCAAAGAAGCAGAGGGTTTAGGGCAGGGGCGATCCAGAAATTCATGTTGGGGGGAGCTGAAATTTAAAATAAGTCAAATACAAATATTTTCTATATAACAAAAATTAAAAATTTAAAAAATCTAATTACAACATTAATCCAACAATAAACAATTCAAGTAGGGTTGGGTCCCTTTTTTACCCTATTCAACCCAACATGGTCTGTTTGATCTAAAATCAAACAAACCCATCACATTTATGTGTTTCAACCCAACCCAACCCAATCAAGTTTCAACCGGGTCGATTGGTTTGGACTTTAGACCAAAAAATAAAAAAAACACCTAGTGAACAATAGAAATCATAAATACCTGCAGGACAATAAAAACATATCAACCACATAAAATACTGAAATAAAAATGCTAAATAACTCATCCAATCATCAAACCTAAAATGCAAATACAAAATTACAATCACCCAAATAAAAGCAATACCGTCATCCCAAATAATATTAATACAGTAATCCAAAACAAGATGAAGCTAGGTTACAATCATCCAAAACTGTACAAATACAATCATCCAAATATCCATTCAAAACAGCAAAGAAAATCCTAAAAAGGAGACTGAATCCTTCACATATATTCATATCTACAAACACGTTTTAGCAAAGGTATAAATTAAGCCAATACAATTATACAATTATTAAAGCACTAAGAGAGAGAGAGATTGCACCTGTTTCCATTTTACTTTATGATATTCACAGTTTCTCCAACTTTTAAAATAACAGCTACACACTTAACCTGCATAAGTACACCATTAATTAGGGCACTTTATACTAAAAATATGAGAAAAGTCGAAGTAATAGGAATGCTATGCCAACACTACAGCATAAGAATGCAATTTCACGAAATTTATCCACCAAATTTGATAATACATTGAGATTTTTTTCTTTTCTTTTTTTTTTCCCTTTTTTTTTTTTTGTTGCCATTTTGAAAAGCTTTTTAAAATTCAAAAGCAAAAACTATACCATGACTTGCATTAAGTCCCACAGAAAATGGAACAATGTACAACTGTGCTTGAGAAAGTCAAAAATAAAAAAAACCTGCAATCATATTTATTCCAAATCAACTAGAATTTCCAATAACTCTGCAACCCATTTAAATATCAGACATCCTTAAACTTCAGTTAATGTAAGAAGGGGCAAAAAATAAAAAAAATAGAACCCTGGAAATCCAAACCAACTCTTGCAGCAACTAAACTTAAACACAAAAACTACATAACCAACGAAATAACTCCTTTATTGTTTGCCTTTTAATTTATAAAGCAAAGACGAAGTAAGGGGAAGACTGGATGAAAATAGAGTGCCAAAATGAGTTCAAACTGACGATTAGCTTCAAGCCCAGACGAAAATAAAGTTGGCAGCAGCCCGCGGGCTTGAGCGAAAGAATGAGAGAGAGAGACGTTTAGGTTTAGGGCTTGAGAGTTGAGTGTGGCTGCGGCCTGCGTGAACTAGGGCGAACTGGGTTGTGATTTGTCAAGTGTGAAGTTTTAACTTTTTAGTTTTACATATGTTTTTTTTAAGTAGCAGGTCGGATTGGGCGAGATTAATCGGTTTTGATGGGTCAACTCATGACCAAACCCATTTCCCTATAAAATAAACAGACCAACAGAATTTTAAGAAAAAAGCGACCCAAACTGGTTGGTCCGGTTCGGGTCGATTTTCATAGGTTGGTTTGATTTTTGGCCACCCCTAAATTCAACCCAACTCAACTAAAATTCAATGTCATATAACTGTCCCAAATATATTAATAATATCCAAGAAACCGTCTCAAGTTAAGCCCCAAAATATTATTTATTTATTTATTCTTTGCTTTATTGACAAGTATAATTATGTTAATATTGGAATACGCAAAACTTCTAGACACTGCCTCCCAAAGAACAAAAAAATATTATATTTTATCATACTAATAAATCAATCAGTTGAATTATCAATTCATATAATACGTCCCTTATCTTATACGGTTACACCAATTGCAGCAAATCATTCAAAGAAACATCATGAAAGTTTTAGTTCCAAATTGTAATGCACTATGTAGATTCTAATAAATTTTGAATTCTAAAAGACCTGGTATTCCTTTTTTTTTTTTTTTTTTTCACACACGTTTACCACAAGTCACGGGTAGGCTGGACAATAAAAATTCTATAAACAGCAAATTAGGGCTTTTAACAAACTATCCACAATTGCTAAACTTGGAATAAAAAAAATACAATTAACGAACATAAAATCTTAAATTGCATAATTAAACATACTAAAAAATCATTAATCAACTAAAGATGAACTTACGTGAAAAGATGAATCTATCGAGCAAGAACTTGACGACGACCAAACCAAAAGGGAAGAAAAACACACACAAAAAATGCTAGATGGAACCAGTAGGGTGTCGGACTTCGAAGAATTGGAGGTTGCAGAAGGCAAAATTTTCAATCTTCGAATCGCTCTCTCTCCCACGGCAGTGGAAACTGGAACATGAAGATTGAATTCTAGGGATAAGGATTTTGGGTTGGGTGGGTTGGGGATAGGTTTAATGGATAATGGGTTGTAAATAATTGCGCTAATGATAAAGAAGGTGGGTAGTGGGCTAATTCTTGATTTGGGCCGAGCTATAATTTTTTTTTTAAAAAAAATATATACTAAAGAGAGGAGAACAGCAACAGGGGAACTGGGGAAGAGTTCTCTACGATCTAAATATTGGAAAGAGAAAATTAAATTTTGAAAATGATAACTTTTTCCTACAATTGTTGTTAGGGCATCATATTTGAAATAACGTTGAACGTCTTATCATTTTCATTAAGAGTTGATAGAGTGAGGTGTCAACAATTTAGCCCTTGTTTGATAATTCATTATTTCAAAATTTTTTAATTCTCATACTAATTTTCAATCACAAATTTAAACGATAAAATATTTTGCATATAAATTCAAAATATTTTTCATACTTTTTAACTACACATTCTTAAAAAAAATCACTATTAAAAACTCGATTTTCTCAAAATGATAGTCATCAAACATGGAATTAATGTGGACATACAAATGAAGACAACAACTTTCAACTCGAAAATAAGAACCAATAGGAAAAACTTGCCCTACTTAGAGCGGTATGACTAAGAGTGTGTCTGATTAAGCTTAAAAGATGGTTGAAATTAATTTTTCAGTACTTAACAATTACCAAACCTTTTGAGTGAATTTTCACTCTCTTTTAGTAACCTTTACATTTCTTCCTTTTTCTCACCAATGGCTTCATTCGAATTTTCTAGTTTGTTGTTTATTTCCTTCAATTGCTCAGAGATCCGGGCTCAATCAACCAATCAATCGACAATCACAATCAACCAATGGAACCACAAACCGAAACACCTTTCCAAACACAAATGGTTGCTCCACTATTTTTGCCCACAAAGTACAAAGGTGAAAGAGATGGCAGCTTAGAATGGTTCTGCCACAAAGACAAAGGAGAGAACAAGAAACCACTAAGAGACACAAAGTCAAAGCACAAAGCCAAGAGGGAGGGAATTTTTTTTTCTCTTCTACCAAAAAGAGGGCTGCTCACTTTCACACCTTCAACAATAATGGACAAGCCAATTAAATATGTTAGGAATAGATATAGGCTTTAGGTCAAATAATCGACCCAATAAGAAAATGGATAAGTGGACTAACACCTTAAAGTCATCCAAGCATTTGGATTGGATCATGAGCAACTCTAATTAATTAGACTACTTCAAATGACCCAAGTGGATTACGTGATTCGATGGTTCGAGACCTATAAAGTATAATTCAACTAAAAAATCGAATAACTTCATTGCTCGATATTTATTGGGTATCAAAACCCAACAAAGTTCAACAAACAGAGTCTCTCTTCCTACACATTACATGAGAGTAAGTTTGAGAAAAAAATGAATTTTAAAAAATCAGTATCAAATAGTGGCCAACTCAAATATTCATTTGCCCCTGTTTGACCCACATTATTTTTTTCATTCTCATTCTTCTACTCATTTTCAATTACACATTTTTCAATAAAATAATATTTTTCATCACATCAATAACTTTTTCTTCATTTTCAACCACATATTCTCCATCACATCACTTCAAAAAAATGCATTTTCTCATTTTAATGTGCACCAAACAGGCTCTTAACTCTGTTTCCATCCTATTTTTTTTATTATACTCTAAGAGTCAAGAATACAGGATTCTTGCCAATATTACTCGCAACCTTGCTAGGTGACAAACTCAACGATGAAGGGATACATGTCAATAAATGATTAAACAATTTGAAAAAAAAATAATATTCAATCTCACTCAGCCGCAACACTGTGTCACCTCACCTTCTATCATTGACCTGGATAAGGAGCATTATTCTATTACTCACTAGCATGATAGGAAGTGCGCATTTGACTCTAATTTTACGGTGAACGTAGCGAAGTGTGGAATGTCTTTGAAACTTGAATTTGCAGTGAAAAATCCAAATCATATATACCTTTTTTTAAAATAAAAACCAGATGATAACGTGGATATTTACAATAGACAGTGCAAATTGGAATAAATATGTATCACATAAAAAGTAATGGCTTAAACATAAATTTGGGTTTGAAACCACGTTTTGTCGTTTGCCATATTTTGCCTTTTTATCAAAACCATCTTGTGGCTTCAGCTTCTCACTTTTTTATTAGGAATGTGTTTGAACCACGTTATTTTGGAAGAATGTATTTTGAAATAGTAGATTGATGGAGAATGTGTGGTTGATAAAGAAAGAAAAGTTATTGATGTGATAGACAATATTATTTTATTGAAGAATGTGTGGTTGAAAATGAGTAGAATAATGAAAATGAAAATTTTAACGTGGCTCGAACATGCTTAATTCTCTAACCTCACATTATCTATTAATTCCTTCTCCAAATTCAAATTCATTTCCCTAAGGGGCCAATTTTTCTTATTTTGGTCCAACATTCATATACGCAAGTCTCGCCCGCATACAAGTTCAAGGTCCGAAACCTATTTCGGTCCATGAATTGCACCCTCATGTGCGTGTACGTGAAGAGATCCTCTATGCTACATATGATTACACCATTCTAAAGTGTAATTTTTACAAAGGAGTTTTTGTTTTCATCCACTTCCTATGTGGGACAAGCTCTTTTTTAGTTTTCCCACCTACATAAACTCTTTTTAAGTGGCACGCTTTGAGTTTCAATTTCTCATTCACCCGAGCATCAATTTTGACAAATGAATATATGATTTCGATGTACTCACGGAGGAGAACACAAATCAATCTTTATCTTTTAAAAAAGACAAACGGGTCCTACTCAAAACTCATGCCAAAGTCGGCCAATATCTCTTCTTTTTTTCCAACAGTTTGTACATAAATGGAGAAATCTTTGGAGAGAGATAATGTTTTGTTGGGATACAGTCCTCGTGAATCATAAGAAAACTCACTAGAAGCACAGAGCAGAAATGATAATTTGGATTTTAATGATGTTTTTGATGGTCTGCCGAGGAGATTTTCGAAGAAAGAAGTAAAAGGGAGGTACAGTTTTGGTGAAGTTGTGGAATCTGAGGAGAAGCCAGTGTTTGGAGCAGAAGTTGTGACAAGAAGGCGATATCTGGGGGATGGTTTCTTTAATGATATATTTGGAGGTGATGAGTCTTATAGTTCACCGAGGACAGATCGTGACCGAGATAGTCCCATTTGTTTGAACCCTGGCTCGAGGATTTCCAGCCCTGGCAAGGCTTTGATTCCCAAAGCAAAGGCTTTTGGCACTTCACTCCCTGCGCAGTTCAGGTACACTTGTCATTTCTTCAGTTTGTGATTGTGAACATCCTTTTTTCGATATTCTTACAGACATGATTTGGTAGAACTCACCCTTAGAATTGGTTTGTACGTGAAGTTTTCCCAACACGCTTATAGATCCTCAAGGCAGATCATTTGGATAAAATATATGAACCAGTCTTCTAATGGAAGTAACGCTCTATACAAGGGTCTACAATATATTTAGAACAGATTGGTTCATAATTGCTACAATCTGGTCATATCTAGCAATAGATTTATAACTCATCTGCATTTGAAGATATAGAATTATAGATTGTAATCAGAGCTCTAGATGGAAAGGCACAAGCATAAATCAACCAGAAATTGAATTGAATGAAAAAGTTCCCCTGTGTAGTGTAAATAAGATGCCAGATGTTTCTCACTAGGTAATTGCTTCCATCAACTGAAATCAAAGTAGTTTGATTCAGTAAACAAGCAAGAAGTTTATGGCTTGTTTTAGCACGATGATTATGGATGTCTAACAATCATTTCATATCATTTTCAGGTTAACAATCATTTCGACAATAACGTACTAGTTCGAAGATTAGCTTTTATTTTTATTCTAGAGATGATCATGTACTTGTAACAGAGTCTGTACCCAATGATCCTAAGGTTGCAGCTGAAAATGCAGATGACCTTTCGAAGACAACTTTGTGGTATGTTGTTTCTTTATTGCTCATCAATAGTGGATATTATCCAGTCAATCGTATTCTAAACGATGTCTTAATTTTATAGATTTCGATGTTTGACCATTTTATATGTCATGGTTTATTAGAACCAATAAGTGTTGCACTTGGCGCCAACATTAGTTAGCTGTAGTTAGTTAGGATAGCTGTGGTGTACGGCTGTCATTCCTGCCTATGTTCCCCCTTTTTATCTGATATTTATATTTCCTCTGTACGATTGATTTGCAAGAGTTGAATAAGATTTTCATTTTCTCTTCAACATTACTTCTTCTTCAATATGGTATCAGAGCAATTGCTCTTCTCCGCTTCGCGATTATTGCAGTAATTCCTGAGATTAACCATGGCTGATATCTCAATACAGAATCAATCAGATCTGATTTCATCTTCATCAATGAGTCATTCTGCCATTGATGATGTTACCAGGCCATATTATCTCCATCACTCTGATAATCCCGGTTTAATTCTAGTCTCGCAGCAATTAACAGGTGAGAACTATTCTTCCTGGAGCCGTGCTATGACTATAGCATTATCGGTGAAGAATAAGCTGAATTTCATTAATGGTAGTATCGATCGACTTGAAGGTAATTCTGATCTCTTCAATCATTGGATTCGCAACAACAATATAGTTATTTCGTGGATTCTTAATTCAGTATCTAAGGAAATTTCGGCCAGTATTATCTACTCTGAATCTGCATTTGAAATCTAGTGTGACCTTAAGGAGCGATTTCAGCAGAGAAATGCTCCACGAATTTTTCAATTAAAACGGGAATTAATGAACCATACGCAAGGACAATTATCTGTTAGTGCATACTTCACTAAATTAAAGACCATCTGGGAAGAGTTTAGCAATTATAGACCTTCATGTTCATGTGGAAAATGTAATTGTGGAGGAAATAAGAAATTGGTTGAGCATTACCACATGGAATATGTCATGTCTTTTTTAATGGGGTTAAACGATTCTTACTCCCAAGTCAGAGGGCAACTATTGCTCATGGATCCAATTCCCCCAATTAATGAAGTGTTTTCACTTATCTCTCAAGAGGAACGTCAAAGAGTTGTTAACATTACTGTTGATACAACTGATTCCTTGACTTGTTATGCTAGAAGTGATCATAAAAGGACTAACACAAGACAGTCCTATAACAGAATTCAGAAAAGGGAAAGGCCTTTTTGCACCTATTGTGGATATGGAGGTCATGCTGTGGATAAGTGTTATCAATTGCATGGATATCCACCATGATATAAAATGAAACAGAAATCTGGCTCCACTAGTCAAACCGGATTTCGTTCAAGTAATCAAGCAGGTCATATTGTTCAGTCAAATACTAATATGGCTAATCAAGTTTCTGAATCTATTCCAGATAAAAATGTTGGCCATATGCGAAGCTTTGTGCAAACCTTGAACTCTAATCAATATCAACATCTGCTGAGCATGTTGAGCACACATCTTACTACTACAAAACTGGAAGATGAGAATCCTAATTCTGGTGGTCATGTCTCAGGTACATGTCTTTCTGTATCAATTAATCAGATATTCAATTCTCCTAAGTGTTGGGTGCTAGATTCAGGAGCAACCAACCATGTTTGTTTCAACCGTGCATCTTTCCAAACTTTAAAAGCAGTCAGGAATACCTATATTACTTTGCCTAATCATGCTAGAATTCATGTACAGTTTGTTGGAAGAGTTAAACTTACCCCTGAATTAGTTCTTGAAGATGTGCTCTTTGTACCCCACTTCAAATTCAATCTGTTATCTATTAGTTCTTTGATAAAGAACTCAAATATATGCATCAAAATTTTCACTGATCATTGTGACATTCAAGATCTGTGCAAATTAAAGATGATTGGCAGGGCTAGGAGAGTTGATGGCCTCTATGTCATTGATGCAACATGTAGTGTAATGGAAAACAAATGTAATTTATTTACAATGGATTGTAATTCAGATTGTTTTGTAAATAATGTGACTAGTCATGTATGGCATCATAGACTTGGTCATTTATCGTTTAGGAGGTTGGAGACTTTGAAGGATCAATTACAATATAAAGACAGTAGACATGATGTTGCTCCTTGTTATATATGTCCATTGGCTAAATAAAGGAGATTGTCATTTGTTTCTAACAACCATTTATCCTCTAATGCCTTTGATCTTGTGCATTGTAACACTTGGGGTCCCTATAGCTCTCCCACACGCAATGGCCACAGATATTTTCTTACAATAGTTGATGATTGCACGAGATTTACTTGGATTTATCTTATGAAACAAAAATCTGATGTTCAGACTAATATACCTAAGTTTTTCAACCTCATTGAAACACAGTTTCACAAAGTGATCAAGGCATTCATGTCTAATAATACCCCTGAGTTAAGGTTCACAGAATTTTTTAGTTCAAAGGGATTGTTGCATCAATTTTCTTGTACAGAACATCCTAAACAAAATTTTGTGTTTGAACGAAAGCACCAGCATTTACTCAATGTTGCCAGAGCCATATTTTTCCAATCCCAAGTTCCTCTGTCATTCTGAAGTGATTGTGTCCTTACAGCAACATTCCTGATTAATCGAACCCCTTCACCCATTCTTCAACATAAAGCACCATTCACTCTCCTTTATAATTCCCCTGTTGATTACAACTATCTTCAAGTCTTTGGGAGTTTATGTTTTGCGTCTACTCTTACCTCCCACCGTTTAAAATTTTAGCATCGAGCAAAGGCTTGTGTATTCATTGGATATCATCCAGGTGTCAAAGGTTATAAACTGTATGATATTATTTCTAAGAATGTTTTTCTTTCCAGAGACGTCATATTTCATGAAATTTTCCCTTTTCACTCTATATCAAAATCTCCTGATGTTTTTGATAGTTTTCTTGATTTGGTTATACCTACTCCTGCTACTGACCTACATATTAACATTCCAGTTACTGATGTGTCTCTAAATCCTTCTGTCAGTTCTCCCCTTCCTCCTATCTCACCCATTTCTGATATGTCTAACACTCATTCTCTTCCAGATTCTCCTAATATGGTAGCTCTGCCTACTAGTCCCACTCTCAGAAGGTCACTTAGGCCTAGTAAAACTCCTTCATATTTGCAGGATTTCCACTGTAATCTTCTTTCTAACACTGCAGATTCAGATATCACTTCATCCTATCCTTATCCCTTAAATGACTACCTTTCTTATAAAAAATTTTCTCCTTCTCATAATCACCTTCTTTTTAATATCTCTTCAAACCAAGAACTTCTATCACCAAGCCGTGCAACATAATCATTGGAAGGAGGTTATGTCTAATGAACTGGCTGCTCTGGATTTGAATAAGACTTGGTATGTCACTTCTTTACCCAAAGGAAAGCACTCTATTGGCTGTAAATGGGTTTACAAAATTAAGTATAAGTCTGATGGAAGTGTTGACCGTTATAAAGCTCGTTTAGTGGAAAAGGGGTATACCCAACAAGAACGACTAGATTTCTTGGAAACTTTTTCTCCGATGGCTGAATTGGTGACTGTGAAGCTTCTCTTAGCAGTGGCAGCCATTCATAAGTGGCATATCATTCAGTTAGACGTTAATAATGCTTTTCTTCATGGAGATTTGTTTGAGGAAATCTACATGGACTTGCCTTTGGGTTATGAACCTCCTAACTCTTCTCACAGACAGGGGGAGCGATTGGTTTGTAAGTTGCACAAATCAATGTATGGATTGAAACAGGTTTCCAGACAATGGTCCTCGAAGTTCTTTCATGTTCTCTTATTACATGGGTTTAATCAGTCCAAATCTGATTATTCTTTATTTACAAGGAGATCTGGAAAAAAAATTGTTACTCTCCTTGTTTATGTCGATGACATAGTCATCACTGGTTCGAATTTCCAGATTATTGAAGAGCTGAAGTCCTTCCTTCACAGTCAGTTCAAGCTTAAAGACCTTGGTAAGCTTAAATATTTTCTTGGTCTGGAGGTTGCTACGTCTCATCAGGGAATTGTATTATCTCAGAGACATTATGCACTTCAATTGCTTAGAGATACCGATTTTCTTACCTGCAAGCCTGCTAACTTGCCTATGGATCCCAAAGCTCGCCTAAGCTCCTTTGAGGGGGAGCTCTTAGAAGATGGTTGTTTATATAGAAAATTAATTGGCTGTTTGTTATATCTAACTATTTCCAGACTAGACATCATGTTTATGGTACATAAGCTCAGTCAATTCGTCTCTCAACCTAGAAAGCCACACTTGACAGCTGTTCATCATTTGCTACAATATATTAAAGCAAATCTTGGTCAAGGTCTCCTTTTTTCTGCTGATTCATCCTTGCAGCTGCGTGCGTTTCCTGATGCAGATTGGGGCTCTTGTTTAGACTCTAGAAAATCTGTTACTTGCTTTTGTGTCTTCCTTGGGGATTCTATGGCGTCTTGGAAGGCAAAGAAACAAAGTACAATATCTATATCATCGGCTGAAGCTGAGTACAGAGCATTGGTATCTACTACAACTGAGCTGATATGGATTCATCAATTGCTTCTTGACTTACAATTGAACTTCAAGTCTCGATATTTTGTGACAATCAAGCTGCGATCCACATTGCCACCAATCCTATCTTCCATGAACGGACCAAGCATATAGAGATAGATTGCCACTTCGTGAGAGATAAAATCAGTAATGGATTCATCAAGCTTCAACCTGTTCAAACCAACCATCAGCTTGCTGATATTTTCACGAAACCTTTAACTGCATCTCTGCTGTTCTCTTTGATGTCCAAGATGGGTGTTATCAATCTACACAATCCATATTGAGGGGGACTATTAGAACCAATAAGTGTTGCAATTGGCGCCAACATTAGTTAGATGTAGTTAGGACAGCTGTTGTGTACAGCTGTCATTCCCGCCTATTTCCCCCCTTTTTATCTGATATTTATATTTCCTCTGTACGATTGATTTGCAAGAGTTGAATAAGATTTTCATTTTCTCTTCAACATTACTTCTTCTTCAGTATGGTTTATTAGGTCTAAGAATTATCTTATGATGACGACAAAGTTACAGTAGATGGAAGTTCTGAGGACATGAAAGTAAGTTACTCTGATGCAATATTAATGGTTTATAATTCTTGGAATGCAACGAAAATTCTCTATAATGTAATGTCGGCTTCAGATGATAAGATTCAACAATGGTCTATTGGGAAGAAAGGAAATATCCGTTCGCTGTTGTCAACTTTGCGATATGTAAGGCTTATCCTTTTTCCATTATGGTTATTCCATTTATGGGAGACAAATTCTTGCTGCTTTATATGGGATTACCTACTCATCAGCCAATGCCCCTTGTTGATTTAATAGAAGCAAATTCAGTGAAACGATCATATCAAAAGGCTTTACTCTGCCTACATCCTGATAAACTGCAACAGAAAGGAGTTGCTTCTCATCGAAAATATATTGCGGAAAAAGTTTTTGATATTCTGCAGGTACCGAAAAAAGATTAGTTGTGTAGTTGATACATGATTCATTTGATCTACTACCATTTTTTATAGAGGGAGACGAATTCTTTGCATTTTCTTGAAATAATGGCTTTCATTAATGCAGGAGGCATGGGTTCATTTCAATGCAATTGGACTTTAATTGTTCAATCTATCAAAAGGTAAAGAGTGAAATAGCAATTCCCGAGAGCTCATTATATCTTCAACTACAAGTGTTGTATATATTTTGAAAGGTTTAAAGTATATATTAAGTGTGTGTTTGGTAGAGATTTTTTGGGGGAAGAATTGATTTTGAATAGTGATATGATGGGAAATGTGTGGTTGAAAAAGAAGATAAGATTATTGATGTGATAGAAAATATTATTTTATTGAAGAATGTGTGGTTGGAAATGAATACAAGGGTCTACAATATATTTAGAACAGATTGGTTCATAATTGCTGCAATCTGGTCATATCTAGCAGTATATATAACTCATCTGTATTTGAAGATATAGATTGTGCTTTTTCAATAATATGTCAAAACTTCTTTTTTGTGCTATGTTTATATTTGAAAAGTTCAATGTAGATGTTACCTTGTATTGCCTTTTCCTTGGACACACATCTGTTTATGAATTTTTCTTCCTGCTTTATGTCCTATTGTTGCACATCGTGTATATTGTTTACTTATAAATGCTTTTCTGTTTCAATCTTCCTGCCAAATTGACAAAAGCAGCAGACTACCCTACATTTGCTTCTGGTAATCATAGACCATATAAGATGGATGACAATGCAAATTGTATAAGCAGCCCCCACTATTCGAATTCTAGTCTATCTAGATTTTCAAGTCAAGCAATCTCTGGCCAAGATGAGACGAGAAACGATGTAATATCTGATCAAAAAGACATTGAAACTCCAAGCAACAAATGGGCAAGAAGAAAAGTACCGATGCTGATTCCCCTTCTAGGTAGGAAGATTTCAAAATAGAAAGAGATGAGTAGAATTGATAGGAATACAAGCTCTAATGGAAGGATGGAATGTATGGAACAAGAATTCTCTACAGTGGAATACCATGGGATATCAACAAATATCGGGTCTGAGTTCTTGAAATTTGCAAGTGAGAAGCATGAAGATAGAAGCACACGAGATTAAGTTCTTACACTGACTGCAAAAGAAGCTAATGCACTGGAAAAGACAGGAGAGAAAATTGAAAATGTAGTGGACGTGAAGACCAAAGAATCTCACAATCTAGAAGTGAAGCCTCTGCATGCATTCATTGATGAGTTTGAACAAGAAGTTAGATCATATTTACCCAATGAGTTTCGAGGAACGTAACGTATTTTGTAATATTTTTTATATGTTTCAAATTCTAATGGCTAAAGTTTTTAGAATTTTGAGGAAATGTTACAGAAGTGAAAGGAAACTTGACCAACCTACCGAAAGGAAACTTGACCAACCTACCGAAAGGAGTTATTTCTAATGTACATGCCCGTAAAAACGTGAAGATAAACTAAAGAATAATGGATTTGGACAGAACACACCCGAATAAAGCCAGTGTGCGAACTTCATTCATAGATTCAGAAAAAGTTCCTGCTAGAAGCAGTCAAAGGAAAGGTCAAAGAGTTTTTCAAGATTTTCAATCAGGAAACTTATTGGAGATTAAAAGTTGATCCTGAGACTCCAAATCAGAGCTCTAGATGGAAAGGCACAAGAATAAATCAACCAGAAATTGAATTGAATGAAAAAGTTCCCCTGTGCAGTGTAAATAAGATGCCAGATGTTTCTCACTAGGTAATTGCTTCCATCCACTGAAATCAAAGTAGTTTGATTCAGTAAACAAGCGAGAAGTTTATGGCTTGTTTTAGCACGATGATTTTGGATGTCTAACAATCATTTCATATCATTTTCAGGTTAACAATCATTTCGACAATAACGTACTTGTTCGAAGATCAGCTTTTATTTTTATTCTAGAGATGATCATGTACTTGTAATAGAGTCTGTACCCATTGATCCTAAGGTTGCAGCAGAAAATGCAGATGACCTTTCGAAGACAACTTTGTGGTATGTTGTTTCTTTATTGCTCATCAATCGTGGATATTATCCAGTCAATCGTATTCTAAAGGATGTCTTAATTTTATGGATTTCGATGTTTGACCATTTTATATGTCGTGGTTTATCAGGTCCAAGAATTATCTCATGATGACGACAAAGTTACAGTAGATGGAAATTCTGAGGACATGAAAGTAAGTTACTCTGATGCAATATTAATGGTTTATAATTCTTGGAATGCAACAAAAATTCTCTATAATGTAATGTCGGCTTCAGATGACAAGATTCAACAATGGTCTATTGGGAAGAAAGGAAATATCCGTTAGCTGTTGTCAACTTTGCGATATGTAAGGCTTATCCTTTTTCCATTATGGTTATTCCATTTATGGGAAACAAATTCTTGCTGCTTTATATGGGATTACCTACTCGTCACAGGTTCTTTGGCCTGGAAGTGGATGGACGCCAGTGCCCCTTGTTGATTTAATAGAAGCAAATTCAGTGAAACGATCATATCAAAAGGCTTTGCTCTGCCTACATCCCGATAAACTGCAACAGAAAGGAGCTGCTTCTCATCAAAAATATATTGCGGAAAAAGTTTTTGATATTCTGCAGGTACCGGAAAAAGATTAGTTGTGTGGTTGATACATGATTCATTTGATCTACTACCATTTTTTATAAAGGGAGAGGAATTCTTTGCATTTTCTTGAAATAATGGCTTTCATTAATGCAGGAGGCATGGGATCATTTCAATGCAATTGGACTTTAATTGTTCATTCTATCAAAAGGTAAGAGTGAAATAGCAATTGCCGAGAGCTCATTATATCTTCAACTACAAGTGTTATATATATTTTGAAAGGTTTAAAGTATATATTAAATCACCTCAAAAAATAATCGTACTGTTTGTTTACAGAAAATGAGCGTTTTTTCAAAATAATTTGTTGTCTTTGACTTGAAATTTGGTCTTATTTTTGTTGACAAGTAGACCTGAGGATAATCATGCATCAACCACTACATGCATTGACACAACCAATATCTTTGATAACAACAAATCAAAATAATTATAGCTTCCAAAAGGGACAACTCCACATGAACCCTACATGCCTTTTGGGACATCCAAATATCATATCAACTCTTTGTTGGAGAATAGTTTTAAGTAAATAAATACGGCCCTTTTTCAATACTTAAGATTTTAGATGAAACGGGAGATGATCAAAACTCTTGAATGAGAATATTGTTATTATGAGTTTATTGAAATTGTGCTCGCTTTAAGTTGTTTTAGTGAAGGAATCAAGATTTTTATGTAGGGGCGGGGACGGAGTTATGATTGTAGAGTTTGGGCAAATTTCACAAAATTTTAATTGTTGAGCAAAATTGAAAATTATAAGAATATTTTTGAAAATCTTGTGCAAAATCTTGAAAATCTATAAAATCCAAGAGTGTGAGGGCAACTGACCCTACTGTTCCCACTGTAAATCCGCCCATGTGGTGGGGGTGGGGGGGGGGTTGTTGGATAGACAAATGTTGGGCTTTTTTGATAAAAAGAAAAAAAAAAGTAAATTTGACTTGTCTGAGATTGTTAAAGATCAAATTTATTCTCTTTTTAGCGATGAAACTTTTAATGAAGTAATTCAACTTAGTATTAAAATAATGAAAAGTCGTGTTATTATTCCTTTATAAAACTTATGCACCTCAATTTTTTTTCATAGAAATAAATATAAAACTCCAGGGAATGTGTAGAAGATTAGAATAAAAGCTTAGTGGAATTGCAAATTTAGAAGACTCTCTCTCTCGGGATAGAGAGGGATTTCATTTCCTTCTTCATTGGGGCCCTTGGCAACCATGGAGTAGCGCGGTATATACCTTCAGAGTCAATGGCTACATAGAATCGTTATGTCTGGATGAGTGGATTTGATTTCAAAAACTCTACTGCATCAGCAGCATGTGCTGGAAGGATTCTACTCTGTCTGTGTGAAAATCTGAGCCCGACTGTGATGAAACGCTTCCTTGTAATAGCTGTTGGAAAGATAGAAATAACTCTGTATTTGGGAAACAATCCAGGACACCAGATAAAACTGTAGCAGTGCTCTCATGGAGTTATTCAACTGAATTCCAATATTTTCTAGTTCTTTATGAAACTAGTCCAGGCCGATCAGCTGATGGGGTACATTATGGGTTAAGCCGGGAATGGGAAGGCTGAAAATGAATGTAGAAGCCGGCATTGCAGGTTAAAAGGAACAGATTTGGCGTGGGAAGAGCGTGCCTGAATCATCAGCAAACACTTGAGACTGATCTCGCCCCTTAGGAGCTGAATGATTGGCTATCATTGTGATGGAGGGCTTCCATTTTGTGCACAACCAAGATCTTCCCATAGACACCATGGAATCGAAACAATGCTATCCAGGCATTGAAGAACCCTTCTTTCCACGAAAAGAAAGGCGTTGCTTTGATACAACTTTCAAAGTTGCGGTCCCATTTTTCTTCATTAGTTGTTCCTTTGTGCGACTCAAAGTAAATTGTGTTGCTCAAACATTAGCTAGGTTTGCCTTTACTTTTCCAAGTACGATGTCATGGTTTGGAGAATGAATACCCTAACTTTGTTGAAGAAGTTGTGACGTAAGATATTAATGAATAAGATCTCCAAATCAATTATTTCTGTCCTTGTTTGAGTTAGTTGGGCTCCATTTTATTCAAAATTGTATTTTATTTTTATTTTCAACCACACATTCTCAATATCGTAAATTCAAAAATTTTACTTATTTTTTAATTACACATTCTTCAAAAAATCTTTATTCCAAAATATATTTTTCCCCAAAAATTGATTTTAATTGAGTCCAAACATGGGTAACATATGAAAAACTATTGATCTCAATCATTTGTTGTTGTTATTCTTCAATTTTTGTTGAAATCTATCATGTAAAAGTACTCAAATTGGTTTAATGGTCGATTTCTAAGTTTCTTTGTAAGTTTAATTGGTTACATTACAAGCTTGATTTTTCAATTAAAAAAAAAAAGATTAAAATAAATAAATGTCATGCAATTATACAGGAACTGCAGCCAGCTTGCCAGGGGTTCATGCACGAAAAATAATCGAATTTCAGGGTCACAAGCATTCAACTAAAAAATGGCAAGAAATAAAATGGGGATGAGAATGGAGGATTTAACCTTAAATTAATATGATCATGAGAATTTTGCAAAATTTTTACAGATACGTTTGATATGTAATAGTTAACACGACTCTCAGTAGACTAGAATAAACAAAATCTCAGGAGTTCTACTTTCTTAGTAGTTTTTATCGTTGTAAAATCCATTTAACCGAACAAACCAATAGGGTCGAAGAATCCGCAATTGCAGATGGTACTGCTAAATCATGGTCTGATTATAGCACAATTATCAGCATCCATTATTGCTTAAACAGTAAGAAAAAGCAATCTACTGAAATGCATCTATAAATTAAGCCAAATCCTCAAAGAGTTTTAACAGTGGATGAATTCCCACTAGCCTACAATGAAGATGACAATTCTTGCTCACACTGAGGACGAACACAACTATCTACAAGTAATGCTTGTAAAAGACACTTCCAAACAATTTAAAGGGGAAGACGATAATCCTCATAACAGAAAAACAGAATAAAGGATTAAAAGAACCAACTGAAAAACCAATCCATCCTAAAAAAGAGAAATTGGTTCAAACTCCATCTTGTCCAATGTCCAAATTCTTTTACCTCGCGCGGCTTTACATTTGACAGTAATGCCGGTGCTTTTGCATTGAGCAACACAGATTGTCATTAGAGAATCTTGATTTTGTCAACGTTTTGGCACTATTCACTTATTTTTGTCAAATCGCTGACATCCGAGTGTTTCCACTTCCAAGTGTAAGCTCGAGATCATCCATTCCCACCTCATGAATTCTCTCGCCTTCCCATGGCTTCACAGCCACATTCTCGAAGTCCAATTCTATACCTTTCCCCTTCTCAGACATCACAACATCTTGGGAAGGAACACGGTTTGTAATGGGTTTCATGAGATTAAATGTTGGAGAAGTTGGAAGCATGTTGGCTGCATTTGCACAGAATTGGAAGTTCATCCATTGGCACGAATCGATAGTAGACGAGTCTGACTCATCGCATTCAGGTATAGTGGCTGGCGTAAAACGCTGAGCACGAGTAGGACTTGCGGGAGCAGAAGCTGCAAAGAAAGGGATATTCAAGGCAGACATGGATTCTTTGGCAAGAGACTCCAAAGTGAAAGTTTGCTTAGGGAGCCTAGTCGGTGAAGAAAGAGGGGGTGTTACCGGGGCACTGTTTGATATTCGGAGAGGAGGGAGAGGCGAAGGGAGAGAGTTGAGGAGGAAAGCGAATGGGTGTGATGACGCATTGGCGTCTTGCCGGGATGGGCTTGGGAATGAAGAAGATGACGGACTAGGTAGATACGATGGAATTGGACTCGCAAAATATGAAGATGGTGGACTCGGGTTTCGGGATGAACTAGGAGTGATATTGGTTGAAGTGCCCCCCATTTCCATTGGAGGTAGTTTGCATCCCTGTATAAGCAAATCCAAACCTCAGTTACATTAGCATATGAACTTCAGAGAAATCACAAACATAAAGAAATGTTCGCACATGATGTCATTTATTAGTTTAACTCTAAATCCCCAAATCTCAGAAACGAGAAACCATTGGGTTTCACATTTTTCAGAAATTTTACAACTAGAAAACAAGTGGTTCTAAACCATAGCCTGATTAAAGGAAATAGTTCTTGAATTAAGCTCCAAAAATCAACTACTTCAATTGTTCTGTTGAGTAATAAATTATATAAATACCAGCAAAAAAGGAAGATTAAACTTATAAAAGAAATCGTTTACAATAAATAGACAACTAAATCGAAATAAGAACAAAAAAAATGCGCTTAAAAATAAATAAAATGAAAAAAAAATCTTGTTTTAATTTTATCAAATCCAGACTCTGAAAAATTAAGGAAAACCAAACCCTTTTAAATTGAACCAAAATAATGGCAATCTTAATCCAAATAAGGGAAACCCACGAAACCCACATCCGAAATCTATAGATCTAAACAAATCACAGCAGATTCGATTAGGTAAACCAATAAAGATCCACATATATATCATACAAAAAAAAAAGATATATAGAAAGAAAAAGTATAAAAGAATTTAAAAAAAAGGGTGGAAAACAGAAAAGTTCACCTTACGATAAGTGGTGCCATCAGGCTCCACGATCCAACCAGCCTCGACACAAAGAGCTTTCAAGACTTCATTGTTATCACAGTGTTTTGGCAGATTGTAATTCCCTTGTGCCCTTAACCCTGAATAAATCTTGGCTGCTATTGCTCTCCTCCTCCTCTCTCTCCTCCTGTTATTCTCCCTTTCTCTCCAGGATGGTTTCCTCCTCCCTGCACCACCGCCGCCGGTTCCATCACCTCCTATACCACCAGCTGCTGAAGACGATGCTGATGATCCTCCAGCTTCCCACATCATTTTCTTGGCTCTCTCTCTTCCCAAAACACACCCAAAAAAATAATAATATTTTCTCCCTGTGTGCGCGTATATATATATATATGCGGGTGGTGGGATGGAGTGGGGGTGTGTAGGTAATAGTAGCGTATATTTCGTTTGCTGGGACAGCAGTACTCACGAGGAATACGCTCCTCCCTGCCTTTTACAAGTTTGGAAGAATCTGTATGTGTTCTGGGACATTAATGTGCATGTCTTTTGACAGATAAACTTCTTGGAGAGGATGTTTACAGTGTAATGCAATATACAAACATTTCCTGTCTGAGTGATTTTGAGTGGGCCCGCTTGACTCTTTTGACTCAGAAAAATAAGGGGACTTGAGATTGGGACAAAGTGAGGGTGTTAATCTATAAAGTGAACAGTTCTTGTTGGCCTGGGATCAGAGAATATTTCATGTCAAAAATTGAAATGAACATTTACCTATTTAGCCCAGTCTGGTGCACAATTTTTTAAAAAAGAATGCATTTTTACTGTTGATGCGGAGCATGTTTGGTAAAGCTTAAAATCAAATTAAAATAGAAAATATAGTCGTTATTGAGTCTCACTCGTCAGATCGTTGGAGCTGTACCATCCTCTGTCACATATGCAGCTACTCTTCATTATCAGATGGTGTACAGAATAAAAGTCAACAATAACGAATAGTTTTTCAATTTTAATCTGATTTTAATCTCTATCGACCACACCAATGATAGATAATATGTGGTTGAAAAAGAATGAAAAGTTATTGATGTGATGTGAAATATTATTTTATTAAAGAACGTGTGGTTAAAAATGAGTAGAAGAATGATAATGAAAAAAATAATGTGGCTCAAACATGACAAGATAATATGATACCATTCTCAATTGAATTAAGCATCGTTTTTGTACATTCGACATCATTGATTATTTTAAATATTGTTAAAATTAATAACAAAATTGTACAACATATCATAGAGTGTAAATAATCAATCATCATTATGTAAGTGTAACAAAATAATTCTCAATTTTTGGCGCACTTGTGGGAGAGTACTTGAATTTATTTATTACTTTTTTAAGGATGAAGGTGAGTAGGGAGGGAGGGTAGTGATAAAAGAAAAGGAAAAAGCTGCTAGAAAATCAGTTGGGCTCTAAAATCTTATCTCAGTATTGTTGTTGCAAAAGAAAGTCACAGGATAAGTATTTTTTTCTTGAGCAAATTACATAAATCTCAGGACAAGTTTATGATAATTATAGAGACATCATCTCCATTTTAAGAAATTTAATACCTATATTGTTTTCTTCATTGTTTTTTCTTTTTAATTTATACAAATAAATTGTTGTAATTTTATATTTTTATAACGGTATCCATAAAAGTAAAATTAAATATTTTCATTTAAATGAAAAGTATGAAAAAGTACTTAAGAAATAAGAAAAAGAAAATAAATAATTAAATAGAACAATATAAATTTTTAAAATGGTATATAAATAGATATTTACTTTTAGATGATGATGTGGGATATCTGTTACGAAAAATGGAGATTTATGAGATTTTTAAAATATGAGTATCTATGTAATTGTCATAAACTTTAAGAAAAGGTTTATGTAATTCTCTCTTTTTCTTTGTATAAAGTGGGGCAGATTTTGACCAAAGTTCTCTCCTCGGGGTTAACTGGTCAACCACCCAATCAGATGTTGCCACCTCACTATGTGGGTCCCAATCTTCTGCACTGGATTCCACCTCATTTCTTGTTAATTTATGATTTTTTATGCATTTCTTTATGATGAGAAAGGCTCATATAAACAAGAATGGTAACATCGGAACCATAAACCAACAACAATGTATGAGTAACCAGTGTATACATGCAGAGGTTCAATCATAAAGTTACAATAACAAACAGAATGCAGTCACATCACATGGATTCCTATGAAATTTGTAACAGAGTTCAAATGTACTGCAGGAAAAGCAAACTTGCATATGCATCCAATTTACACACTACATGCAGCGAGAGAAGAAAGTTTGTCCCACATAGCCACCAGCCATTGCCCTTCTCACGTTCGATTCAAACATTTTTGGGTTCTCTCTCAACACAGCAGCTGCATCGGGATTGAGAGGATCCTCGTGATTTGGTTCCTGTGTATACAGAAGCTCTAGTTAGTGACAATAACAAGCTGTGAATTTTAAATTTCCTTTGCACCCAAAGTAAAAATTACCGTGAAAAGGTGATACAAGCCATAAATAATTGTGTTTATGTTCAGCACAGGCTTCCAGTCTTCTCGAAGAATGTTAAGGCAGACATTTCCTTCCAAGTCAATGTTCGGATGGTACACCTGCAACGGGCAAGATTAATTTAATCACTGGAGCTTCGCTACATTAGTCAATAAATAGATTGAAATCCTGCGTGCGTTTACCTTCGTCTTGCATTTCACCTTTGGTGCCTCGTGAGGATAGATGGGAGAAATTTGGAAAGAAAAAATAAAGGTGCCACCCCTGAAAATGAGCAACTTTTCAATGCACATGGTGTGATGTAACTGTTAAGACCGTCTGTGGGATAAAGCTTTATCCCAAAGGGCCTTATAATTCAAGTTTGCTAAGAAATTTCTTATAAGGAATTATAATCGTTCATAGTTTTTAAGTTTTGTAATAAATCTTCCATGTCCATTGTGGATTCACCCTCCACGTCATTTCAAATTCTATGGTTTCATTTTTCTCCGGAAAACTGCTAAGGAAGCATTTATTTCGACACGATAGGGCTTGGAGTTCAGATTGATGCCTTGGTCCACTCCAAGATAGAAAAATACCAATAATGGAAAGTGACAAATAATTCAAATGTGCAATGCAAAATGTATAATGACCAACGGTTGTGGAGTGAATTTAATTGATGTTTTTAAGAGCTCCAGATTACAACAAACATTAACAGGAAAGATATACTTACAGATAATATCCATCTTCAGGCTGGAGGGTAACTTCGAAGTTCATGAGGTCGTCCTTACCATTAGGGAATGATATGCTACATGTTTTGGGTAGATTTAGTTCGCTTATATCTACAACACCAGATAAGAGGAATAAAAGAAGATGTTATTTCTCAACTCCTCGAAATATGAAGAAAAGTGTAAAGAAAGAAAGAGGTAAGAGGGTGGCCGGTGGGGGAGGAAGCTTAAGGGTCACTTGCACAAAGTTCCAAACAGGCGCAAATTAAGGACCAAACAGCATGAAAGAACATTCTCTATGGGAAAAAGCACTTTCTTGGGAGGAAAAGAAAAGTGCTAAAACTCTCTTTAAAATAATTTGCAAATGCCGAAAAATTCTCAAAAATAACTCATTTATTACAAAATCAAGAGAAAAATACTTGCATAGGAAATGCCTAAAAAGGTTATATATACAAGAAAAAATTAGTCTATACATTAAGATAAATTATAAGATCAGGGCCACAAGGAAAGTTCCATAACAAAAGGTAGCATATTGAAGAATTAAGACAATGACAGACAGTCAATAAGGATGAAACATACCTGTTGGGCTAGAAAAGGCAATTGCCAAAAATTAATTTAAAATAATATACAAACGCTAAAATATAATCAAATTCTTCCCAAAAGGAGGCTTATATATTACAAATTTAATTTGTATTTACATTGGCCTTATTTAATCGCCTAATTTGTATTCTCGACCTAACATAAAATATTCATCTAGCAGCCACTATCTTCCCAGTATTGGGAGATTTTCTAATAATGTCAGTTTTTGACGTAGTAGGATGCCTAAAAGAGTTTGCAATAGTCATGGAATCATCCGGATAATGTTCGAGATGATGAAGGACGGAAGAGAACAAGCAATGCCTAAAAGAGTTTGCACTAGTCATGGAATCATCCGGAAAATGTTCGAGATGATGAAGGACGGAAGAGCACTAGCCGGAGCAGCCATGGACTTAGCAGAGACAGACCTGAGCTTGTGGGCGCTGTGCGAGCACTATGGTTTTCTTCGACAATGGGCTCAAAAACCGATCCCGACTTTGTTTGAACTAAACTAATAAGAATGCCGCCCCCCACTATAGGAGTTGAAGATAGGGTAGAGGGGCGAAGCAATCTGCGATTTATGCATAGGTAGGCTTGTGAAAATATAGAATCCATGTCCTAGGTGGTTAGAACGAATGTGTCAGACCACTTTTCGATGTAGTTCAAGCATTTTCCGTATTAAGCCAGTTTACCCAGTAGTTAACCGGAACCGGTGGTAGGCGCGCGTTAGTTTTCTAAAAACCAAACGACAGTCGGATGGAGAGGNGGTATTCCTACATGCTCTAGGCGCTGTCCCATATACGCGCAAGAATACGTTTTATTTCCGGGTTTTACCTTATTTCACATGGATTTAGTTATGTAATTATAATTATGAATTGTTGGGACTCTTGTGATGGTTTCAAACTATTTGAATGGGTGTATTAACATCTATAAAGAGATTTATGCTTTAGCTTTTAATATGTATGAAAATCTTGCATTCTTCCTCTTGTATTTTCTTCTCTTATTATTCTCAAGTTCTTATATTCTATAAAACCATTCCTGGTGTTAGGTATATTGCAGAACCGGATATCAAAGACCATCGTATACATTCTTTCCATCTACGGTGTTCGTTTTGTTGTTGTTAGTGTGCATAAATGCCGACAAACATCTTTTTTGATTCCAATGTATCTTGGAGGCTTATTTGGATCCTCTGTGTACTCATTTGTAAGGGACAAATAAAGTCTTAAGGAGAGAACTATCCAGTGCCCTGAAATCTACTGTAGAGCTGCTTTTTCACGCCGTTGTAAAGGAATCCCTTCTCCAGCACCCATTGCATAGATTTCTTTCCATATTGTATTTTGTCCTAAAGCATGTTAACACGCAAATAGGAAAAAGAGTATTGACAAGATTTCTCAAAGGAAACGAACTATTTTTCCTCTATCCTGATGTCGGTTTTGGGTTCAACGAGACTTATTAAAGTAATCTAATGCGACAGCAACATCTCGGTAGAAAAGAAGCGATTAAAAAACTTTCTCCTACCGCACCATGAGAAAGCAATTTCCAGCTTTCAAGTCTGTACTTAATGCAAGCTGCAATACTTCATGAGTGAGCAAGTGTAGACATGCATCCAGCAAGAATACTAAATGAAGATTCATATGGTGCACGTGTGTCATGCTTTGTGGGGATGAAAAAAATGATACCTGCCTGCATGTGAGATGACGTATTGAAGACAATTTTTTAAATGATATACATGTGACCCTCAATAATAGCTTAAGGTTTTAAATCAAGTGGTTCAACATTATATGCTTTTCACTTTAAGGTTATGGATGGATGTCATACCAGAATGCAGTATGTGTGTAACATCCGTTACTGATGGTGTTTTTAATGAATACATAAGATCTTTACAACGCTAGACACATAAGCATCCCTTTCTAATTTTGGTAAACTAAACAAATATATAAATATTTATGAATCATTGAAGCTTGAGTATGTTTAATGCATGTGCTATCTTATTTCCCTCCTGAGACATTTTGTAGCATGCAAATTGAGTATGAATTTAAATCATGGAAACTACTTTCTCATTGAATGGTAGATAAAATTATATAGATCACCTTTTTCTTTCTGTTTTGTAGTCGTATAAGTTTTTCCAATGAATATCTTAAAAATCAAGAATTATAAAATTTCATTTTTTTCCCAGGTCATGGACATATATGTTTCAATGATGTTATTGTTGGCATCAACAAGTATGCAACGAACTGAAGTAATGAAGATGCTTTTAATAGATTGTAGAGGGAAGGATGAATTACACGTGACACGGAACATCGATCAATTCTAAAATTTTCTGAGGAATGGAGACTGATTTTTAATTTTTTGCACAAACTTCAAAAGCAAAGGCGTGTTCTGACAAATGCCATGGTTTATTTAATTGTGGCACGAGGGAACCTTATGCAATTCAAGACCTATTCTTTTTCCAGTTTCAGGCTATTAAATTAATGGAGTTTTTATGGACATATTGGAAAAAAATTATGCACCAAGAACCAGTGTATATTTATTTTTCTCAAAAAATGTCACCCTTGAAGCTCTCTCTATCTATTCATTATGGACATGTTCGTTTGTAATTAGAAATACAATTAGGTATAATATCATCTTTACTAAGAATGTAAAGATGTCTCATCTTTACTAAGAACGTAAAGATTCGTATTCAAGTTCTCCACTCTGGCCGAACTTGCATGTTGTTGAAGTTAGAGTTATTAACAAACTCTAATTCAAGTAGCAGGGGATTAGGACACATAATTTTCAAATAGTGAATAACATGCATTCAAAAAGCATCCGTCGAGTATGACAACTGAAGACTTATCATGGCAACTCTTGTACTCAAGCTGATGTCTATACCCACATAGATGGCAACAAGTGTCCAGCCTACATGACCTGGTGCGAGTCAAATGGCTATCTGGAAGGTGAAATTGAAACTCGACATACGTTTGACATTTGTTGACTACTACTTAGCCAAGCCTCGTCACCGAGGTCCACAAGAGGCCAAGAAGGCATGAACTAGAAAAAGGTAGTGTGCAGACTCTCATAAGGAGAAAATGACCTACAAGAATAGCTAAGTCAATCTATAGACAATCAGATAGCCTAAAAGTCAACCCTATTCCTGCTCACCCTTCTCGATAAAGCCTAATCAAGTCCATAGGTTGAGCAAGCTGGCAGTACCATATAAAAGACTTCAATTTCGCAAACAGGGAATCTTGATTTGACATTAGCTTGTCCAGCACACCAGTTCAGTGCCATGTTCACTTGAGGTACCAACTAACAATACTTTCCAGCATTCTAGAAAGTGAAAGTTGTCTAGTCAAAGACACCTGTTTAGGACATTTATCCACTCCTACTTTGCTATCCTGAGGCTATCCAGTCTACGTGGAACAATGTTGAGACACTAAATACCCTGCAGAAAATTTGCCAAATTATTCTCTCAAGTTAAATACCAAAATTTACTAGAGCGCAGAGTGTAATAGTCAATTCATTCCTCACTTTGTCAAACCTGGAATGGGCAAGCAAATTCACAAGTGGTTTGTTTTGGAGAATTTAAGCAGCTTTCAAATCTCTTCAGAGAAAACAATGATAAGTGACATCAACTAGCATTAAATCAGTGGCCAAGTAGAGTTTTTAGCAGAATGAAAGTCTATGGACAGGAAGAGATGAAAAGAGAGTAACTTGGCTGTTGACTACAACAACACTCCAATAACATTTTTGTTCAGTGCCGCCCTTTAAATTTCTTCGATTTATTCTCCATTTTACGCCTTTATGGGATTGGAAATTTCACATTACTGTATTTCAGAAATTTAAAAACAGACACTAAAAACACAAAACACAAAACGAACTCAAAACAGAAAATTGAAACACGAAGAGAATGGCCTATAAATACCCTGCAGAAAATTTGCCAAATTATTCTCTCAAGTTAAATACCAAAATTTACTAGAGCGCAGAGTGTAATAGTCGATTCATTCCTCACTTTGTCAAACCTGGAATGGGCAAGCAAATTCACAAGTGGTTTGTTCTGGAGAATTTAAGCAGCTTTCAAATCTCTTCAGAGAAAACAATGATAAGTGACATCAACTAGCATTAAATCAGTGGCCAAGCAGAGTTTTTAGCAGAATGAAAGTCTATACGGACAGGAAGAGATGAAAAGAGAGTAACTTGGCTGTTGACTACAACAACACTCCAATAACATTTTTGTTCAGTGCCGCCCTTTAAATTTCTTCGATTTATTCTCCATTTTACGCCTTTACGGGATTGGAAATTTCACATTACTGTAGCATAAAAGCAGCAAAAAGCGATGAAGATTTCACTGACAATCCCATGCTGAATTTTATCTGATCACCATGAGGTTATTAGGCAAATTCTCCCTCTTTTATTTCCTTCACACACAATATCTGGTGGCATTTCTCGTTCAAAAATATATTAATTTATCCTATTTGTTTATTCTGCAACATCGGTCAACAGATTAAACTCTTCATTCATACAGATTTCTAACCTTCTAAAGTCTAAACATTCCTTGTTACCAATGATAACAAATACCTTTATGAAGACGCAACTCCCCAGCACTTTGCTTCTTGCCTGGAGGCTTCCCATTGGAATTTTCAGCAAGTTCTCTCTGCTTTTCCTTCACTTTAAACAACTTAATCATGGTACCTACATATTTAATAATTGTAACGAGTATAATAATTAAAAGAATCCTGAAAAAAAAAGAAAGAAACATCTACAGCCATCTTTGTTAAGAAATAAACATAACAGGTAAAGCACTCAGACAGCTAAGGGATTACTGTGCAGAATTGCTGAGAAAGAACTAAATATTTGCCATTCAATCAGGACTAGTTCACCATTTTCCAGTGTAAATTTTTATCCTACAGAGGAGGTATCACATGTTCCTGATGACAGTAAAGATATATGTCACTTGTACAGACAATTAGAAAACTGAATCTGCATATACATAATTAAAAAGCAAGTACTGGCTGGATCAACCCTTGAAACAACAGCACAGAAGAATGTGAATACCATTTACCAAACAACAAAAGATAAATTCGTATGTTCTCTATACATCACTCTAAATAAAAGAAAAAAAGTTGTTTCGCTTTACTCGTTATAATTTCTTTTAAATCTCCTTGATTTCTTTATTTTTCTATCAGTAATACCCCAGTGGACAGAGTACATTAACAAATGAGATTAATATCATTAACACCACAGGGGCATACATCCCTTGCACGTGTGAACAGAACCATATAATGATGAAAAAAGGTTTGTCTGAACAAAATATGTTAAGATTTGGTTTTTCATCTTAAAATGTCAACCTTATTAAGAGTAGTAACTCAAACTCTTATAAATTGGTCTATGTTTTCATCTTTATTCGATGTGAAATTTTATTTCTTAACATGCCCCCGCAAAATGGTGGCTCGTTTGAGCATACCAATCTTGAAATCCGTGTGATCAATTTTTTTTAGTCTTAATCGGAACAAATTGCTCGTTGGAGTTTAATGGGCTCTGATACCTTGTTAAGATTTGAGTTTCCATCTTAAAATGTCAACCTTATTAAGAAGAGTGGCCCAAACTCTTATAAATTGGTCTATGTCTTCATCTTTATTCGATGTGGGATTTTATCCCTTAACAAAATACACCTTACCTAAAGCCTGATTAATGAAGCATGTACTATATAACATTAAAAGGAACAAAAATAAATGCCATTGCAATGAAAGTTCACAATAACTAAAGATATATGTAGGAAAATACAGCAATAAGCAGTCTAAGCAAAAAACTAGACCGTAATCAAATTCAGGTTAGAAGAAGTTGATTAATGATATTCATTGATTTTTTTATGTTTTTTCATGCTCAAAGTTTTATCCTTCAACATTGTAAATTGTACAGTAAAATTCCTCAAGTTTACCTTTATGCACAAGAAGAGCACACATAAAGAACCTAAGAGTAACCCAAAAAAATTTAAATTTCAATTCAGATTCCAATCAGAGTAAGTAACAATACAAAGTTCTGCTTAACAAATACTATAGTTTCGGCTTTTTAATTGCTTCAAAGCTAACATCAGAAAAATTATTAATTAATAGGTATTTGTGATATAAAAGGAATTCAATATCTAGCACATAAGACAGAGACATAAAAACAAAAAAATAAAGAACCAGCTCGAATCAGAATAAACATCGACGAATAATTGAAGCATCGAAAACCCTGAATAATTACAGCCTACAGGAAACCAAAAAAGATACATAGACAGTAGCTAAACAAAATTAAGCTAACGATAAATCAATCTGAAGACAACGATAAAACGATATGGTGAAAAATTAACAGCAAACGCATACGGAGATTAATCTAGGTATAAATACAGTACGCATACATCACAAATGCATATTTAAATTAAAATAAGGATGTGTGAAACTGTACCTGCTTGATTAAAGAAACCACAAAGAAGCGAAGGCTGTGTTTTGAAGAGAAAAGTGAGATGGAGAAAGAAAGAACCTGAATTCTGAAAGTGAGTGTACTTTCAAGTTCAAAATAATGAATTTAAAAAGCTCCTCTACTTTTTGGGAAAGTATTTTTATTTTAACATTTAAATTACTACAAACAAATATTGGTTAAAATCAATCAACATAAATTGGGCTTTCTTTGATACAAAACTAATAGGGAAAAAAATCATAAATCGGTGTATAGTTTACACCAATTCAAAAATCAGGTTTATAATTTGAAAATT